CTGGAATTAAGTGCCATTGAAATATCTTCGCTGTTGCAGAGTCATTACTATAGGTTTGTTAACTCTGTTTCTGTTAAAAAAGCATGCGGTAAAGTGCCGTAAAAATCTTCACGATTGTCTTTTTTATAAGTAAACAGGAATAGCAAAATTTAATTTTTGTCAAGCAGTCTCGCTTCCGTACTTAATTATTTTGAGATATTTTTATTACACACTTTTTTCCAAAAACTTGCAACGTGATATTTAACTCAGTGCTCTCGTTTACCAGCGTTTTTTTTTTTTTTTTGATTCAGAATGGAACTGCATGCGCAGTTGTGTTGTTCGCATGCAAAAATCTTCAGTGCTAAAATTTTCGCGCAGTTCGAGCGTAGTTTTTTGATTAAAAAAGAACTATTTGCAGTCAATGTAAATGTTATTTTCACGTGATGCTTTCGCAGAAGGGAGAAGCAGCAATGGAGCAAGAAGATTCTGTGGATAATCTGGCTACATCAACAGTAGCAACAAGTGAACGGATTGATTTCGACTACACCCCTAGCGGGCAAACTAATGAAGAAGGTGAGAGCCTAAAAACGTCCAAAGTAGTTCCAAAGCATCAAATTGTTTTTGAATGTGTACTGGGATGATAATCTGGAGGAATAAGTGGCGCCATCTAATTGTCTTAAAGTTACGGTTCTGATTGCCTGTGAATATAATCCAATACTTTTTCATCTCCTATTTTTTTCCTGTTTGCAATAATTTTTGTCATTTCGTACACGTGAATTGTATTCACATCCGAAAACCATCATCGATGCTTCTAATTGACTCATTTCGTTAAAATCAAATAGAACAGAGGAGGGGGAGAGATAGGCCGAGGCGGAGTTTTATCAGTCTGCGCTAGCAGTGAAATTTCTTAAAAGTTTTGAGCCTTTTGTACATGATCTCTTATACTTTTTATTATGCGTTTTGTGTTGTGCAAAATGCATATTGTCACGGGGTTATGTGTGTGTGTGTGTGTCCTCTGCCCACGTGCGTCTGCACATCACGTACGCCTGGATCTCAACGTTCTTGTGAATATTTTGGTGGGAAGAATTTTTACCCGAGAGCCAGAAGCGGTATTAGGCTGAAGATTTCAAGAGGATGTTTTCTGTAGTGGCCACACAAATTCAAATTTAATTCCCAATTATGCCGAGGTCTCACTCGCGACTGCATAAAAGTTTTGGCTCGAAAATCGCTCAAAAGCCAGAAAATTAGGGGGTTGATTTTGGAAGAATGTTTACTGTACAAGGCTTAGATGGGAAATTTCGTAGCTTAGGAACCGGACAACATTTCAACTATTTTTGCCCAGACCAAACTACAAAGCAGTGAAAACCCTCAGCAGGCGAATGCTCGCTGGACGGGACTGCGCAAAACGCATGATCGCACGGGTTATCCTTATGCACGCCGCTTTTCATTTACCTGAATTCCTTCATGGGCTTAAAATTTTTTTTAATTTTGAAAACAGTTTTGCAGAATGGCCGTTGTTGTGGAGGTTGTTAAAGGTGAAAACAAACGTTAAGGAAATGGATATGCCAGTGATGGAAATGATTAGTGCAAAGAAGCTGCAGAAGGTAAAGCAGTTTCGGCTAGTTTTGTTAATAAATTGAAGTAGATGGCACAGTGAATTTGAAGTTTCGCAGAAAGTCGTACTTGCATTACTGTGCTTTGAGCCAATGCCACTAAAAAATTTTCAAAACTGGGGCCTGTAAAACTTTGTCAAAAGTATGAAAGTTTACTTCTTTGCATTAAAATATTTTAATTCTTCAATGAAGAAAGTGCCGGAGAGTCTTTCCAAAAAATCCTTTTCGGTTTTTTCTCCTAGTATTTTCGAAATTCAATTCAAAAACTTTCCTGTATACACCCTCAGAAATTAGAAAAATTTGTAAGTAGCTGGAGGGCTGTTGAGTTTTTAAAAAATATGTTTTGCTAGGCTTACAAAAAATCTGTAGCATTTTATCTTTCATAAAAATAGAGATTTTTCATCCTAAAATCTTGTCCAATGTTTACTGCTTCAAAAAGATTATTTTGATCTTCCTTTAGAAATCTGAAGGAGTTCCTAAAACTCAGTGGAAATTTTGCACTAAAATTGTGTGCAGTAACATCTAACAAAATAAATAGCAATGCGCACCAGATTAGCCGGTGCGATCATGCGTTTTGTGCCATTCAGCCCATCGAACGATTGCCTATTAATGATTTCCACTGCTTTGTACTCTAGTC